AGAAATAAGGTTATGCGAATGATGCAACTTTATAAAGGCACTATAAAGCCTATTGTTAGCAAAACGATGATGTAATCACACAAGACAAATTAAATAAATATGAGGTTCGACCTTGAAAATCAAACCTCTATTTCTGTTAGTTCTAGAATAAAATACCTAAGCCAAACTTGCAGCACTGTGATACCTTCAAGATTAAAGGTTGGAGACGTGAGTAAGTGAAGAGGCAAGGTGTGAATAAAGGAACAAATGTTGGAATACATCTAGTATAAGGTCATAGCAAAAGTCGAACTTGGCTTTTGCTGAAATAAACAATTACCTAATCAAACCGACTGAGCAAGATTTTGAAGAAATTCACTCTTTAATTAATTCCCACAACATATAGCCTTAACAAATTAAATTCTTTTATATGTACAAAGTCAGAGTTCATTTATGCTTCTTGAACCTGTTACGTAGCTTGTCAACTCCATTAAGAAGCATATGAACTTGAGCCTTGCACATGTTGAATTGTATGAATAACAATGTTTTTTCTAATAATGGAAATTAATTAAATTGCATACTATTTCGGTTTTAAATTGTAAAGATGGTGATATTTTTCCAACAATGGAAACTAATTAAACTGCCATGTACTATACTAATAATGATTAGTCTATAAATTATATTTATATACAAGTTTGAACATAACTTTGATTGTTTATGTCATTAAAATTTTTTTATAACAATAACATTAATGGGACATAAAGGAGGAAAACCACAGCATCCACTTAGTGAATATTTTTACATATTGCCAAATGAATAGGCAAATAAAAGTAATAAAAAATGTATTTGCCAGGCTTGTATGGAAGCAGTAGAAAAGGATGTTGCTTTGAATGATAAAAGCATGAAACTCACCAATACCCGATGTTACTGTGCTAATCATATAAGAGAATGTTCTTTTTTTGCGGCAAAATATTTACCAGAACAAATAGAGACTATTCTTACCTTAGCAGTACTACCAAAAAAATATGCAAAGTCTTTAAGTGATGAAGATGATGATGAAGATGAAGTTGAAGAGAATATCTCTTCTAATTCATTAGTAAATTTGGATAGTTCACCTGCTAATTCATCTTCAACATCAACTTTTATTCCTAAAAAAAAACAAACCAAGGTATTACAATATATTGGACATCCACTTAACACTTCAGAGATCCCTAAATTTGAGTGTCTTTTACTTCATACTACTGTTTCAGCTGGCTTGGCATTTCAGTGGATTGAAAATCCTGAAGTTAAAGCATTATTTCAGTTTATTAGTCCACTTTTAAAATTGCCTGATAGAAAATCTCTAAGCGATCGTATTTTAACAAGTATGGCAAATGAACTACAAGAATCAATTATGGAACTTGCCAGTAAAGACAAAATTGGAGTCACAATCGCTTTTGATGGTTGGTGTAATATAGTAAAACAAGAAATAATGGGAATAGTATTCATTACATCTTCAGGTGAAGTTTTAATTTGGATAGCTGATAATATAAGTAGGGAAAGACAACGGCAAGAAGAAGTAATTTCTAGGATTTGTGCTCTTTTTGCAGAAGCTGAGGAATTAAATATAAAAGCAAACTGTCTTGTAACTAATTCCGCTAGTACATATGCTGCGGCTAGATGTTATTTGAGAAATGAAATGCGTGATAAGGTGTTTATTCCATGTTTTGCCCATCAGGCAAACTGTTGTATTGGCGAACTATTTAAGGAGTCTCTTTCATTTAAAAATACAAATAAAAATGCAATTCGAATAGTTACATTCTTTCATCATTCAGTATATTTTACTGCTAAATTGCGTGATGAACAATTAAGTATATTAAAAAAAAATATTAATTTTATTACACTATGCTTGGTAAGATGAAATAGCTTTTTTAAATGCTTTGATAGCATTATAAAAAATAAATCTGTACTAAAGGTATATTTTTTTTAATTTAAATAAATATTTTTTACCTATTCTAATTATGTCTAAGAATATCTTACCTCAATTATTCTAATCTCTGAATATAATTAGAATAGATATATTAGTAATATTTTAATTATACTCAAAGGAATTAGAATGGGTAGGGTAAGATATAATTAGAATATTAAATTTTTATATAATTTAATTAAATAAATCTTATTTAACAGACTCTTGATGCCAAAGACGATCTAGTTTTTATGATGATTTACAACTTCCAGATGATATTAAAACAATAATTAATCATAATACCTTTTGGGATTCCCTTATGACATTACGAGATCTACTATACCCCTTTTGTATTGCTCTTAATCTCATGCAACGAAACAAAGCCTGTTTTTATCATGTTTTACATAGTTTCGCTTTTTTTATGCAAGTATTTAAAAATCTTGATATTTCGCAATTTCGAACAAAAATGATTACGAGACTCGAAAGAAGATGGAGTACATGGGAACAACCAATTCTACTTCTTTCTTTTGTTCTTCATTTTTTATATAAGCTTAATTACTTTAATCAGTCTTTATCATATATTAATTATACACATATGGGTGCGTAGTTATTATATTATTTTAAAGCATGGTTTGGTTCTGAACCTAATAAGTTATTATTTGAATTTGAATTATATAAGCAACAAAAATATCCTTTTATTGAAAAAACTTTCAAACAATTTAATGGTGATATCATTTTTTGGTGGTCATATAATTCCAGGATAGCACCAGAATTAAGTTGTATAGCATGTCACTTATTTGGTATATGTGTTACAACAGCTTCAGTAGAAAGGCTTTTTTCTACTATGGGTTTTCTACATTCACCATTGCATAACAAACTAAAAGTAAGTTTGTCCTATATAAGTGCTGCAAAGAAAAAAACTGGAATTTTTATTTATATAGTAAGAATTACAAAGTTTTTCCTTGCGGTACCCGTATTTAGTTTATATTTTTTAATGTATAAATTTTAAATTATCTTTCAATTATTGAATGAAAAAGTAATTGCGATAAGTCAACTTCGTGCAGAGATTTTGAGAACAAGAGAATCTAAATTTAATTACAATCAATCAAATTTACCTTCATCATCTGATTTTTTATCAGCCTCATCTAATCAAAGTCAAACATTTGAATCAAATAATGAAGAAACAGACAGAGGCATTAATCTTAAAGAGGATAATAGTATTAATTCTGAAACTGATTGGGATTTTGTTATTAATGAATGGGAGGAATTATTAAGTGATGAACAATTGAATGAAGAATCTGATAAAGAATCTGATAACGAGATAGATAATGAATTGGATTTTTATGATTCTGAAATTCATCTGGCAGAAAATCAATCAGCAAAATGGAAATTGGAAGATTTATTTTTATCTAATTTGCCACCTTTAGTTTTTGAATTATAATATTAGATATTGGATGAATTTATCAAGAACAGAGTTTTATTTAGTAAAAATAAAGATGATTATAACCATATTTAATAGTGTTTGTTGTGAAGAGGCAATTACCACCCTGGATGTTGCAGTTTTAAGGTAGTACACGAAAGAGAAAGTAAAGAACTGAATTAGCATAACTCACCCTTATATGAGTGACTAAAAGGGGAAACCTGTAAATTATTTCACTTATTGAGTAAATGATTTACAGGTTTTTCCTTTTCGTCACTCATATATGATCTATCATCATTAAATTATTAATTAACCGATCATTGAAGTTACTCGTAATTCTATGATACATGACCCTGAGACAAGCAGTATATCTGAAATAGAGATAGTAAAGTTATTAGTATATTGAATTGATACATTTCAAACAATGAATATAAACTAAAAGTAAAAAAAACACTTATTTAAGCCCCAGTATTGTTTTTATAAGGCCCAAGTGCCAAAAACTTGGACAAAATCTCATGTGCTCAATAGTATTATATTTAAGTTTGTTCATTACTTTTATTGCTTTTTATTAGTATAGTAATTTAAAGATCTATGATTTTTTTTTAGCTATCTGTGTTTGTGATTATTTGCTACAATTTGAAATTAATTTAGTAATGGATGAAAAACTTATTTTAAAGCTATTTAAAGTAAGTTTTAGTTTTAGTATTCAAGGTTTAAACTATAAAAATAATTTAGTTGACTTTGTCAATTAAGTAATAAAATATAAGCATCAATTTAGAGATGATCTTTGACCAGCCAAATTAATCAAAGAATTTCAAGATAGAAAATATTATAATAAATTTTATTTATACCTGAGTTGTTTTAGGACCCAAAATCCACTTAACTGAATTTTAAATCCACAGAATTTCGAATCTATTTTCAATGTATATTTCTTATTCAGAGTTCTATAATATAAATAAATAATGATAAATAGATTTAGAATGTGATTAATTCAGAGTCAACTAAGCCTATTTTCTAAAAAATTGACCGACTTGGCTAAGTTGACTAAGTCGACTAATCCCTAATTAGCTTACACAATACTAATTTAATAATTTCCTTAGAAACTCTCACTTTCATAATAAGAAATAAATAAAAAAGGATCACTTTGGAATTATTATGTCAGAAAGATTTACTAGACAAAGAACTTTAGATAGTGTGCTGCTTAATGAAGCTTTATAGTTAATATTATTTACTCTGATCGTTATATTGAATTAGCTAAGTAATATACAGATTCTGATTCAGAAAATGGCCTACTGGAATAAAGATTATTATGAACTTAAAGAATGAAATAAAAGCACAAAAGGCTTAAATAATGAAAATGCCGATTAACCAAATTATCAATATTCAAAGAATATAGTTATCAAAAGAACTCTCCCCACTGATCCTCAATTCCAAAACAAGGAAAAACAAAATACAAAAACAACAAGAAAACTGGCTAGCAAACACCCTTTAGGC